GTCGTTAAGTTTTTCTCTCCCACTGAATCGTTGTTGACAACGGCAGTTTGAATTGAAAGTAGATGAATTTTTTCGTTGAGTATCAACAAAAAACAAAACTATCAACATTTGACGCAACAGAAAAATCTAGAAGAACAAAAACACACATTGAATATATAAAAAGCACGACTAATATCTGGCAAAACAACAGTCTATATTGTACGATAATCAAGTTTTGCTTCAACGTCTCGAAGATTAATCTAAAATGGGTTGCAGCAACTCTAAACAAAGCATTATACCATCAAATGCAGGTGCTGAGGCAAGTACAGCAGCTATGTCACGAAGACGACGCATGGCAGAGAATTATATAGTTCTTTGGGTCGATACAAATATCAATCAATCGAACGAAGACTGTCGAAATACACTTGCGCAATTGCGCAGTGTTGTTAACGACGTTGAAACATGCAAAACGGTAGAGGCATGTATTCAAAGCCTCGAAGAAAGCAATGGGGCGACAGCATTCGTAATCTCCTCCGGTGCATTAGGACAACACCTAGTTCCACGTATTCATGGCATCACACATTTGAACGCCATTTATATCTTTTGTGACAACAATCAACGGCATGAAGCATGGGCCAAGAACTGGACAAAAATAAAGGGAGTCCATACAACAATTAAGCCAATCTGCGAAGCACTAGCAATGGCTGTCAAACAATGCAACCAAAACAATATGCAGGTGAGCATTATCAGTTCGAATGAAGGAGGTTCAAGCGAAAATCTCAATCAGCTTGAACCAACCTTCATGTATACACAAATATTCAAGGAGATACTCCTTGATATGAAATATGATCAACAGACCATCAAAGATTTGGCAGCATATTGTCGATCAATATACCTGAACAATCAAACAGAAACAAAAATTATTAATGAATTCGAACACACCTATAAATCATCAAACGCCATTTGGTGGTACACGCGTGAGTGTTTCACATACAAGATGCTCAATGGAGCATTAAGAACACTCAACGGCGATATAATGATTCGAACGGGTTTCTTTCTTTGCGATGTTCATCGACAAATCGAAGCTCTGTACAAGAATCAGGTCAGCCAATATCATAACAAGATTTTTACAATCTTTCGAGGGCAAGGCCTACCGAAAGCAGATTTTGAAAAGCTCGCAGAAAACAAAGGCGGGCTTATTTCTTTTAACAACTTTTTATCTACCAGCACAAATTCCGATATCTCCCTTGTTTTCGCCAAAGAAGCTTTGAAAATGACTGATATCGTTGGAATTCTATTCCAAATAACCATTGATCCTGAAGTTTCATCAACTCCATTCGCCTCCATCCAGGAAGTGAGCTATTATAAGGAAGAAGAAATTCTCTTCTCTATGCACACCGTCTTTCGCATTGGTGAAGTGCGAAAAATTGACAACAATCGTGCACTTTATCAAGTCGATCTCAAACTTACGTCAGATGATGATCCACAACTTCGAGAATTAACTGACTTTATACGAAAAGAGGTCAGCGGCACTGGATGGTATCGAATGGGGCAATTGTTACTACAAATAGGTCAATTTGACAAGGCCGAAGAACTATATATGGCACTATTGGAACAGGCATCAGATGATAGTGATAGAGCAGATATTTATTATCAGCTTGGATGGGTGAAAAACGACCAAGGACAATATGAAGAAGCAGTTGCATTTTACGAACAATCTCTGAAAATCTATCGAAAAACTCTTCCGGAAGATGATCTTTCATTAGCTCCTACGTACAATAATATTGCTCAAGTGTATAATGACATGGGTGACTACTCGAAAGCACTTGAATTTTACGAAAAAACACTTAAAATCGACGAGAAAACTCTCCCTTCGAATCATCCCTCATTGGCTACTTCGTACAACAACATCGGTCTAGTCTATAATAACATGGGTGACTACTCGAAAGCACTTGAATTTTACGAAAAATCACTTGAAATACGAAAACAAGCTCTGCCTTCGAATCATCCTGATTTGGCTGCTTCGTACAACAACACTGGTCTAGTGTATAACAACATGGGTGACTACTCGAAAGCACTTGAGTTTTACGAAAAATCACATACAATCTTGGAAACAGCTCTGCCTTCGAATCATCCTCATTTGGCTACTTCATACAGCAACATCGGTCAAGTGTATAATAACATGGGTGACTACTCGAAAGCACCTGAATTTTACGAAAAATCACTTGAAATACGAAAACAAGCTCTGCCTTCGAATCATCCTGATTTGGCTACTTCATACAACAACATCGGTCAAGTGTATAATAACATGGGTGACTACTCGAAAGCACTTGAATTTTACGAAAAATCACTTGAAATACGAAAAAAAGCTCTGCCTTCGAATCATCCTGATTTGGCTACTTCATACTGCAAGATCGGTCTAGTGTATAATAACATGGGTGACTACTCGAAAGCACTTGAATTTTACGAAAAAAATCTAGAAATCACAAAAAAAGCTCTGCCTTCGAATCATCCTGATTTGGCTACTTCATACAGCAACATCGGAGGAGTGTACAAGAACATGGGTGACTACTCGAAAGCACTTGAATTTTACGAAAAATCACATAAAATCTACGAAAAAGCTCTGCCTTCGAATCATCCCTCATTGGCTACTTCATACAACAACATTGGTGGAGTGTATAATAACATGGGTGACTACTCGAAAGCACTTGAATTTTACGAAAAATCACTTGAAATACGAAAAAAAGCTCTGCCTTCGAATCATCCTGATTTGGCTACTTCGTACAACAACATCGGTCTAGTCTATAATAACATGGGTGACTACTCGAAAGCAGTCGAATTTTACGACAAAGATCTAGAAATCACAAAAAAAGCTCTGCCTTCGAATCATCCCTCATTGGCTACTTCATACAACAACATCGGTCAAGTGTATAATAACATGGGTGACTACTCGAAAGCACTTGAATTTTACGAAAAATCACTTGAAATTAAAGAAAAAGCTCTGCCTTCGAATCATCTCGAATTGGCTACTTCATACAACAACATCGGTGGAGTGTACAGCGACATGGGTGACTACTTGAAAGCACTTGAATTTTACGAAAAATCACATCAAATCTTCGAAAAAGCTCTGCCTTCGACTCATCCCTTATTGGCTACTTCCTATAACAACATCGGTCAAGTGTATAATTACATGGGTGACTACTCGAAAGCACTTGAATTTTACGAAAAATCACATCAAATCTTCGAAAAAGCTCTGCCTTCGAATCATCCCTCATTGGCTACTTCATACAGCAACATCGGTCAACTGTATAATAACATGGGTGACTACTCGACAGCACTTGAATTTTACGAAAAATCACTTGAAATAAGAAAAAAAGCTCTGCCTCCGAGTCATCCTGATTTGGCTACTTCATACAGCAACATCGGTCAAGTGTATAATGACATGGGTGACTACTCGAAAGCACTTGAATTTTACGAAAAATCACATAAAATTAAAGAAAAAGCTGTGCCTTCGAATCATCCTAATTTGGCTGGAAGTCATTTGAGTTTTGCAGTATGTTACGAAAAAATGGGTGATTACACAACAGCTCTTAAAGCCCTTAAAAATGCTTATGAAATTCAGCAAAAAGCTTTTGAAGAAGGTAATGCAGCTTTTTCTTTTACCTACAGTAGGTTAGGAAGAGTTTATCGCAGTATGAAAGATTATTCAAAGTCACTTGATTACTTTCAAAAATGCCTTGCAATAGATAAAAAAACACTGCCTGAAAATCATCCGGATTTTGGTATTACATATAGTAATATTGGTGATGTTCATCGTTTAATGGGTGATTATGAAAAGGCAATTACATTTCATCGAAAAGCATTAAATATTCAAGAAAATGTTCAATGTAATCCTCTCGAATGTGCAACGACATATATAAATTTAGGTGAAACATATCGTCAAATGAAAGATTATACAACGGCATTGACATATTATCAAAAAGGATTAGAAATACGTGAAAATAAACTACCAAAAAATCATCCTGATTTAGCTGTAGTATATCACAATTTGGCAAAATTATATTTATCTACTCGACAATATAATATGGCAATGAAAAATGTTCAACAAGCCGTAGAAATTGCTCAAGAAAAATTACCTTCAAATCATCCTCATATTTTAGAATATAAAGAAACATTTGAAAAAATTCGAAAGAAAATGTAATTTGTTTTTTTTTTTCGATTTGCTGAATAAACTTATTTGCATTACAATTGATTCTCGCGTACGCGCGCGCGCGACCAGGAAGACTCCCTGTAA